TCMACATCAAAAACAACTAAAAAACCCATCAAGATCTTCATACCTGATGAAGCAGAAATTAAAATATTACTTATTCCTCTGGCCACTTCTCACATGCTCCAAACTCTGAAAAAAAAGGAAAAAAGCAGAGGGGATGTTTCAATCTCATTGGCTGGATTAAAATCAAACCAAACCCAGAAATGCCAGGGGCACATCAGATTGTTCTGGGCATCATCAGGGATCACAGAGGTGATCCCCAGGTTGGAGCCCCTCTTCTCAGGAGACAGAACTGGGATTGTCCAGCCTGGAGAATGGACAACTCCAGGAAGACCTCAGAGYTCTTTCCAGTACCTAAAGTGGCTTATAAAAAGGATCAAGAGGGACTTTTTATATGGGCAGAGAGTGACAGGACAAGGGGCAATAATTTTAAACTGCAAGATGGCAGGGCTAGATGGGATATTGGGCAGGAATTGTTGTTCCCTGGGAGGGTGGAACAAAGTGCCCAGAGAAGCTGTGGCTGCCCTGGACACAGAACAAGGAACGGGATGGGAGAACCAGGAGGGAGGGCAGAAAGCAAGAAAATCACAGGGTGGAGAGAAAGGAAAGGATGGAGCAAGGACAGGGGGCTGAAGAGAAAAGAGGGGGTAATGCAGAACAAGGAAGTGGGGCTGGAGAAGGAGGAAGGGGATGGAGAACAAGGACAGGGGGCTGGTGAACAAGGAGGGAGAGGTGGATATCAAGAGAGGGGGTGGGAGAGCAAGGAAGAGGCCGGAGAACAAGATATTGGGGACGGGAGAATAACGAAGGGGAACAGGAGAGCWAAGAGGGGGCCTGGAGATCAAAGAAAGCGGGCAAAGAACACGGAAGKGACTGGAGAGAAAGAAGGGGGGTGGGGAAGACGCAAGGAGGGCTGGAGAACAAGGACGAGGCCTGGAGAGCAAGGAGCGGGGGTGGAGAAGGGCAGGAGCGGGCAGGCCCGGCAGGGCAGGCAGCGGGACAGGGAAGGCAGCGGGACAGGCCCGGCGGGAAAGCAGCCGAGGCTGCGGGGAGAGCGCTAAGGGCCGGCGGCGATGCGGGCCGGGGTCCCGGGATCCCCGCGGGGCCGTGAGGGGAAGGGCCCGGGCCCGCTCCTACCTCAGGGCGCGGCCATGGCGGGGGGCGGCGCTCCCGCACTGCAGCTCCGGCAAGGCCGCTCCGCCCGCTCGGCTGCGGCGGGGAGGGCTCTGCTTGGCTTCCCCAAAAAGGAGCGGGTCTGCGGTAAAGCGGCTCCCGCAGGGACAKAGCCTCCCCCGAGCCCTCAGGAAAGGGATTGGGATCGTTCCCCTGTGCCCCATTGCTCAGGTGAGACCCCACCTGCAGAGCTGCTCCAGCCCTGGGGCCCAGCACAGGAAGGACGTGGAGCTGCTGGAGAGAGCCCAGAGGAGGCAGCAGGATGGTCAGAGGGATGGAGCAGCTGTGCTGGGAGGAAAGGCTGGGAGAGCTGGAATTGTTCACCCTGGACAGGAGAAGCTTTGGGCTGAGCTCAGTGTGGCCTTGCAGGGCCTGAAGGAGCCCATAGGAACCATGGAGAGAGACAATTTCCAAGGGCTGCAGGGACAGGAGCCAGGGAATGGCTTCCCAGTGCCAGAGGGCAGGGCCAGATGGGATATTGGGCAGGAATTGTTCCCTGGGAGGGTGGGCAGGCCCTGGCACAGGGTGCCCAGAGAAGCTGTGGCTGCCCCTGGATCCC